GGCGCAATACATATATCTACATTTGTATATACATAAATACATATCCATGTATTCGTATATTCTAGAATAATTCGAACATATTTTGCACAGCAAATATTTTGAAATAGCCTCAATTCTAATTAAATATGTCGGTTGATTTCTGATTTCTGTTCTTAGGTGGCATTTCATGGCTAAACAAATAGTTAGAATAGTGAATAAGTAGAGCAAGTTGAAGCAAAGCCCGTAATAGCAACCACTTTATGGTTCGTCGCTTATTCTCTGGCCACCATAATCAGGCTGCAGACGATATACACACACACGCACACTCGTATATCATTCGAATGAAAGCAACATATGTCCACAAAGTGGTAGGAACAAGCGCATGGTGGGGGAGCATTAGCTAAGGGTGAGGAGCGTAAAGGGCGGCGAGGGGAGGCGTTGGCATTCATACGAGTGTGATATATATTTTGATCAAACAAATGTGTAAAAGTCACTGTGAGGTCGACGGAACAAATCGAGGCTCGTTAATAGGAAACAATTACGGAGCTGGTCGAGCACAAGGAAGAGGACGGCGGCGGAGAGGGGGACGAGGGTTAAATAGTTATTGGTCACGACAGCCGGAGTCAGGAATGTGGCTCACGTCCCTGCTAATATGCGAAATGAAAAGTTGAGTTTTAAATCATTTATCTTGTTTTTTTTTTTCAGTTATTTTCTCCATTACTCTAATAGTAGGAGAGAAAACACAAAGTGACAGAGGCACGAGAGAAGAAATGATGCCGCTAAATGAAATTGGCAAGAGAGGCGCATGTCGTGAATGCCAAATGAGCTGTGACACTGACACCTTCTGCGACAGGACCTTTTCGTGTTTCGAGTTGTCGTTCGTTCGCCGTGGGACAACCCTTTCGGCCTGCCTGTATACAAATCGAGCCCGCTTTTTGAGTGTACTTTTCGCATTTTTTAACTTAAATTGCGGCCATGATTAATTCACACGCCCAGCCAGAAATTGACTGGACCCTGCTCCGGCCTCAACTCTTCAACTACTCAACTCAAGTTCTTTTTCTCATCTGACAAATTGTGTTTGAAATTAAAAAATAAAAAACGAGTTTGTTAACTGGAAAAAAAATATTTGAAATTAGCTGGAATTAGTTACTCCAACAGCTCCAATTTCACTTTCAATTTGATAATTGAAATTTCAAATAATTAAATATATTCTTCTATTTTTCTGCACATCTGAGCTATATCATATATCATGGCACGTGACCTAGTCAAAAATCGCATTGATTGATGTTTTTTGCGAGTCCTTGCTTTTTTTTTTTTTTTTTTTTTTTTGCAATTACAATTGCGAATCAATCACTTTTCGCGAATTTCAGCTGAACATGACTTTCAAATCAATTACAAAAATTTGATGGGATTGGTATTCGCAATTGAGAGTATTCAACTTGTTCAGAAATGGGCGCATATAAATATGGAGTGAACTCATATTAGAATTTTGCTGATAAAAACTTTTTCATATTTTAAATTTAGCGAAAAACTTTAGCTTTAATGATCAATCAATCTATCAATTATTGAGGTAAGTTAACTAAATCATTTTTATAAATATAAAAAATAAAAAAAATAAACAGAACATTTTGCAAATAAAAACTATAAATAACATAATTAATCAATAAATCTATCAATGAAGTACGTTCAGTTAACTTTAATATTTAATAAACAATTCATTTTGTAAATAAAAATAATACATATATTTATTAAAA